CCAGGGGGCCGGAGCGCCGGCGCGCGCTGCGCGTCGTGGTGGCCCTGGTGGCGGCCTTCGTGGTGCTGCAGCTTCCTTACAGCCTCGCCCTGCTATTGGATACCGCCGACCTACTGGCCGCCCGCGAGCGGAGTTGCCCTGCCAGTAAACGCAAGGACCTGGCGCTGCTGGTGACCGGGGGCCTGGCTCTCGCCCGCTGCGGCCTCAACCCCGTGCTCTACGCCTTTCTGGGTCTGCGCTTCCGCCAGGACCTGCGGAGGCTGCTCCGGGGTGGGAGCTGCAGCTCCGTGCCTCACCCCCGCGGCCGCTGCCCCCGTCGGCCCCGCCTCTCTTCCTGCTCGGCTCCCACTGAGACCCACAGTGTTTCCTTCTGGGACAACTAGGGCTGCGTACCGAGAGGAGGGGTCGAGCTGAGGAAATGAATATGGGAGGGTAATGGGAAAGGGAGTAGCTGGGGGAACACTGAAAAAGAGGTAGGGACCTAAAGGAATTGCTTCTGTACTTGGCCACATTAAATTGATAACGTGGAAATGAGATGCAACCCAACAACTGTTCCTATTTTTGAGTCACTGACTTGAAAGTGACTTGTAGCAGAGCCGTGGGTCCCCCACCCCCCGCCCCACCTCCATCTCCACCTCCACCTCCACCTCCACCTCCAGGGAGCTGGGCTCCGAGTGGGAGGCGCGGAGAGCCTGGGTGGGGGTGGGGGGCTGCTGAGCCTGCTAAAGCTGCAGCACTGACACCTCCTCCACCTCTACCCGCTCTCTGCCAACCGAGGTGAGGTGGGAAGCTGCCAGGCGAGGAGGGGCGGGGGTTCCTCTTGATACGGCGTAAAGAAGAGCTTTCTAACAACTCGAGTGCTATCCAGTAATGGCTGCCTTAGCAAGTCCCGAGTTCCCGGCCTCTGGAATGTTCAGACTGAGTCTGTCGGGGACTGTGTGTGCCTGCGTGTGGTGTGGAGATAGGGATGGGGCAGGAGATTCCCGTTTTGGGTGGGCTTTTGGATTAGGTTACCATTTTATAGTCTCTTCTAAAATTCTGTGGTGCAAGGGTGGGGGGGAGCAAAAAGTTGAGCCGTAGTTTTTCACCTTGGAGAAAAACCAAGGAGAAAATTCCAATTTGCAAATTTCCAAAGAGTCATTATCTTGGGCGTGGTGGGGGTGGAGGTGACTTGTTCTTGGTCAAATGCACTGAGCCTGCTGGAAAGAGAGAGGTTAGACATCGGAAAGAACTTCCCTGCAACTAGAGCCTGGGATCCAGACAGGGAGGAGAATACATGGTTGTGGTGCCCCCACCCCTAGGAAACCTCAGTGCGGACCACCGTCCTCTGGGGCCAGGGCAAGGCCCGGATGGCCTGTAGAGGGTGTCACATTAATTCTTTAGGTCTTTGTTTTACACAATCACGACAGGCAGGATGGTGTTCACGTGCGACAACTCTCGCAGTTTAATATCCGGTCAGCAAAGCTGCCCGGGCCACTTCAGCCAGCAGCCTGGGGACCTGGGACAAGAAGGGCGTGGCGCGGAGGGGAGGTCTCCAGGGAGGCGCTCGCCTGAGGTCCCCGCCCTGTCCCGCCCCGCCCCAGCTCCGACTAGCCTTCCTTCCCAGAGCCTCGGGCGGCTGAGATCGAACCACAGCCTCCAGGGGCCGTGAACCTCGAAAGGCGCGGAGGTGGCGCCGACCCTCAAAATGTACCACACACCAGCCACTGGGGGCCAACCTGGAACCCTCCACCGGAGACCGCGGGAATCGCCGCTGAGTCAGCAACGCGCGCGCGTGCCCGCAGTTGCCCTGGCCCCCGGCCCCGTCCGCGGCCCCGCCCCGCCCGCTTAGCGCCTGGGTTAACCCTTTCCTACGCAAAACAGCAGGATATTCACCCAGAGAGGCCTCCACTCTATCCGAAGACAACAGAACTCCCTAGAATCCCAAGTTACTCTCCCCACAGGAGTTCAGTGAGCTATGCGCTCTAAATTCGATTTTATTTCCGGCCTAGGTCTGCAATTCACTTCAAAAAGGAGGTGACTCATGTCCAGGAGCTGGACTTCATCCAGGGGCGGAGGGCCACCGCTAGAGCTGTGCCGGCCACAGGTAGCTAAGGTTCTTTCCTTTCTCAAAGATCCTGAGGCCAGACAGGGGTTCAGAGGGCAGCAGTCGGGACCTTCCTCGATGCCCTACGCCCTTCGTTCTCCAAAGCTTCCTCTCAGGAGGGTTTTTCATCTGCAGGTTGGTGAGCCAAGAGTTAAAACCGAGATTGAAGGCGGGCTTCCGTGACGTCACTAGCACTCTGTCCGACCTCAGAGACGAGTGCTTGGCTAACTTCGCACCGCCCCATCCCTCCCAATTCCCTGGCCCCGCCCCGTTGTCACCGAGCCAGAGGCACATGATGCAACCCACCGCCGTTTCAGTAGCCTGATTGGTGGCCGCTCCCGGCGCCAGGCACGGGGATTGGGCAGAGGAGGCTGTGACGAAAATTGGACCCTGCCCTGTAAAGAAGGGAGGAGAGACAGAAGTGGGAAGGGGGGGNGGGAAGGGGGGGCGGAGGGAGGGGATTTGGGAGGCGGGGTCCCGGGGCTGTGCTCGCGCCCCTAGCGCGCCAGTCCCGGGGCTGCAGGGAGCGCAACGCGCGCGGCCCGGGCCCCGGCCACCGGACGCTCTACCGGACACGACCCTCTCTGGAGCTTGGACAGCTGCCCACCCTGGACACTGCACCGGACACTGCCCCCCACAGGGCTGGACACTACAACGGACACTACTTCCCAGCTCCGGACATTGCTCCCTCCTTCCACCCGGGCCCTAGACGCTTTTCCCCCTCCCCCTTCGGGGGCAGAGACATCAAGCCCCCCGCAGGCTCTAGCTAGCAACCCCTTGCACCCCAGCGCCAGACGCCGCCTCCTCCCGGTCCCCTTCTCCCTTCCCCT